TCAAAGGGCTAGTGGGAGAATTAGATGAGATTTAACATATATGAAGCACATATGCATGTCTGGCACATATTAAAAACTAAAAAAATGGTAGCTGTTATATTATAAAATCATCTAGTTACTTAAAATATCATGCCTGTTTGCCACATTCATGTCCCTTTCGCCAAAATGATTGATTGGTTAGGGATTCATAAGCTTGATAAAGCTGGCTTTTTCTGTATAATAATATAAAAGTCGCCATCTCTCTATTATTACAAAATCTAGCTGCTACCCGAATGTAAATTTTCTTTAGTGAATGCTCCACAAAGTGAGAACGCACCGTGGTTTGACCATAGGGTGAGACATAGGCTGGAGAAGGCAGGAGGGGACCAATCGATTTTAGACCATCTTCAAGAGTCTATTTTAGAGCAATGGGAATCTATTGAAGGATTTTAAGTTGAGGAGAGGCAGTATGAGACTAGCCTTTCAGGAAGCTCTCTCTGGTGGAACACGGAAGGCATCAGAGGAGGGTGAGATGAAGGACAGTTAGTGGGCAGTTGCAATAATTTAGCGAGTGATGATAGTAGTCTGGACCCCTAGCATAGTGGCACTGGGGAGGGAGACAAGCAGTTGGGAAGTGTCCTCAGCAGGACTTGGTAATTACTACCCCAGAATCCTGTCAGGGGAATTTTAAGGTGATAGAATAAATTTATGTTTTTCAGTTAATATACGCAAAATGTCTGTAGGTGTCTTTGGATACTTGTTACCCAGTGTGAATTAAAAGCCTGATTCTGATTCATAATAATTAACCAAGAGGAAAGGAAGATGAGGTCATCTGCTGTTGGTTTACAACTATGAAGGCACCAAGTATTATATAAGATTTTCTATGAGCTGAATCCAAAGGTATCCAACAGTTATTTACTGGCTGAGTGTGAAAGACTTTCAAAGCATAATTATGCTGCACTGTTACCCATTAATGACCAAAATGCTCGTGAATTGCTTTATGTTACGTGACCAGACATTTGAATGATTTAGACGTTTCACTCAGGCTATCCTAATAAGACACCATGGCCAGGGAGTCCTCGCGTGGATGCACAGAGAATGGTCTAGCTGCATACGCTGGGGATCATCTTGCTAGACTGCCATTTCTTTAATCTTTTTGGATCTTCACTCAAGGATAGCAAAACTATGATAGCATTCTTAAGATTTATTTTAAAAGGAGTAGATTATAAATAGAAAGTGTGGGGAGAGACGTGAAAAGAAGCCGTTCAGTTGTCTAACAAGGAGTTCCCGTGAGCTCTGTTCCCACTTCACTGGTGGCAAATGTCAGCGTTGCCGCTATCATTACAGGTAAAAGGTCAGGCACATTCCAGCTGCCTTAGTCTTGAGTGTTTCCTGTGCAGTCTAAAAATACACTGGGAGAAAGTAGGCTGAGTTCCTGGGGTAGGAGCAACCTATTTCATTCTGAGGAGAGGCCAGATTTTGTTCATTTAATATCTAACTGTGGAATATTAAAAGAAATTGTCATATAAACAACCCCCAAACTGTTTGAGTCAATTAAAAAAGTAGTTACTGGATTTGGTGCCTATTGAGATGTTCCTGGTTCTTTTTCTTCCACTCTGGAAATCTAAGAGTTAGTTTCCATCTTCCCAATCGTTACATCCAGTGAAGAAAGAACAATTCAGAACAAGTGTGGCTTTCTGAATTAGTATCTTTGAACTGTTACGATTTTTAGAAGTTTGATTCCTAAACATGTCATATGTCTGTGATTTTGGTTGATAACTTTACCAGTTTAATTTATTTACTGAATATTTATTGAATGCCTACACTGTGTAGGGCTCTTTCGAGGAGTCAAAGTTTTTCAAGGACATACTCTACTGAGGACAAATTTTCCTGAATCTTCACGGTCCCCACGTTACAGATATGGAAACTAGTGTTGCCCAGCCAGGAAAAATGAGTTCCCCGTGGTGACAGAGAGAGTCACCTGACCAGAGTTCCATGGATGAGCCAGATGAATTGTTTGCCAATCTCCCCTCTTCATTAGTCATTTTCATGTCATACTTACATGACTTGGAATAATGTAAACTAGCTACAGGACCTAAAATATTATTTTAAATAGGTCTTCTCAAAAAACATGGCAATATTCTCATGTTTTTATGTTTTACAGATTTTCTAAAAAGATGTGAGTTTAGATTAGATTCTTTGAAAGAATACACAAAGGAACAGGAGATACGATGAAAAAAATAAGGCAAGCTTATTTCTAAAAATATTCAACTTTTTGTTTATTAATAATTAATAGCTTATTAAAATTCTTAAGGATTGTATTTCCAGCTTTAAAATCATACAAAGAAGATACAAGGGGAAAACAAGTAGGAAAATTTAGGAGTCTGATTCAGAGTTGATTAAACAGAATGCTGAAAAGCTGGCAACTTTTTGTCCCTTAGTCTTGATCTTCACAACAAATATCCTTAAATTTCAGCTTTCTAGTTCAATTTATTTTTTCCATATTTATACTTTATTTTTTTTCCAATTGCAAATGAATACATGTCCATTCTCATAAAATAAAAAAACTTGTAATATAAAGTATATAGAATAAAGAACACTAGAATTATCCTCCCTCCCCTCATACACACGTTGTTCCATCAACTCCACCTGGGAAGTAATCACTGTTCATAATTTGGTGGGTAACTTTCTCTGAATTTGAAAGTAATTCTATTTCTAAAATACTACTGCATTTTGAGAAGAGAATACTGCATATCCTCATCCTGTTTTAGTGAGAAAGAGCCTGCAGATGGAAGAAAGAGTAAAGTAAATTCATATTGGAGAAAGTAAAAGTAAATTTATATCGGATTAAATAAAATCTCAGAACATGTGTTTCTGAGATTAGCTTTAGAGTTTTCTCATAGTCTGCTATGGACTGAATTGTGTGTCCCTAACCCCCCCTCCCTCCACATCATATACCGAAGCCCTAACTCTCAATGTCACTGTATGTGGAGATAAGGCCTATAAGAGGTACTTAAGGTTAAAAGAGGTCATAAGAGTGGGGCCCTGATATGATAGGATTAGTGTCTTTATAAGAAGAGACACCAGAGCTCTTGCTCCCTTTCTCTCTCTTTCTTTTTCACTCTCTCTCTCCCTGCACAAGCACAAAGAATAGATGGTGTGAGCACACAGCAAGATGGCGGCTGCTGACAAGCCAGGAAGAGAAGTCTCACCAGAAACTGACCACACTGTACCCTGATCTTGGACTTCCAGCCTCTAGAACCATGAGAAATCAGTGTGTGTTGTTCAAGCCACCCAGTCAATGATATTTTGTTATATCAGCCTGAACTGACTAAGACATAGTCCAATATTGTTTCTCCCTGAGGGCAATGCATTAGGACAGAGCCTCCATGATCCTTGACTTTCCTTCATGAGCAGGTAGGAGGGTGATACACAGGAGCTGAGTGCAGTTCCGAGAGAAGTAGACCAGACAATGTGTGAAAAGAGGAAGGAGAGGACTGGTCCCAAATGGAGTATACCAAGATTGAGACGCAAGTACAGGAGAAATAGACTTTGTTAGCAAAGAGGCATCTGAAGGTTTCCACCAAAGATACTTCTCACTTTCTGAAGGACTGTTGCCAAGATGACCAGAATCCTCTTTCTTCTCGACTTGTTATGGCAAAGACAGTGCATCATGTCAGAATGAAATGACCCCAGTCAACTCTAATAGTATCTTAATATGTTAAAACAAAAATTTCTGTACCAAGTCCTCCGCTTGCTCAATGCTGAGAGTCCTGTTCCACTGGAAAAGAGCCTGGGCATCCCCCAAGCCAACCAGTAAGAGTTTTCTGTGGAGCCCCCACCCCAGCAACGATGCAGTCGGTGGAGCAGGACCAGGCACATCCAGACAGCTTAACTGAAACAGGGTATCAGAAAAATAGGACTCCCTTATATTTTGTTATATTTTTAACATTTTCCCCATCAGACGTTATTTAAAAAAAGATCTTTCCATAGACAATTACAATTCCATTCCCTAGTTTAAAAAGTAGAGGTATGAACAAAAATGACAACACATAATGATATCTTGTTTAGGTATGCAGGGACTCCAATTAATTTCCGGGAGAAACAAGTTTGTTTCCATGCTCTTTTTAAGAAAAAAAGTTATCATTTTAATAAAGTTTATAAGTAAATCAACATACTTACTTTTGTTATTCGCTTTCACTCAAAAATCTTTTATATTTTATTCAATTCTCATTTTATGTGTAAGCACGTTTTGTTTTTCATTAATTTGCAAGTGTTTTCATATTTTTAGCTTATTAAAAAGTTGAGTTTTATCTGTTCTAGAATTTTAGTGTTTTCCAATGTGTTTGTTTCTGCTTTTGTTAATGATATTTCATTTTTGTTTCCTTTGGATGATTCTTGTGTTATTTCCCGCACATGATATTCAGTGGAGGTTTAATTTAATTCTTCTTTCATTTTCATTTCTAATAACAATGAAACTATATTTATAAAAAAAATACTAACAAAACAAAACATCTCATTAAGATAATGTTTTAACTCTTCGAAGTTCTTTCCTATCTTCTCATTTGATCATCAAATTAACCCCTGAAGTTGGAGTTTATAATTATTATTCATCTCCAGATGTCAGATGAAGAAATCAAGAGCCCAATAAGTTAATTAAATGACTTGTTTAAGGTAGAATAGCTAATTTTGTTGTTGTTAGTGCCAAGGAGTGGATTCTGACTCCTAGTGCCCCTGTGTAGAGCAGAGCAGAGCCCTGCCTGGTCTTTTTGCATCATCCTCTCACCTTCCGGCACTGTATCAGACAGTGCTCCACTGCTGTTCACAGGGTTTTCATGTCCAAGTTTTTTGGAAGTAAGTGGCCAGGTCCTTCTTCTTAGTCTGTCTTAATCTGGAAGCTCTGCTGAAACTTGTCCACCATGAGTGATCCTGTTGGTAAATGAAATACCAGGGGCACTGCTTTCAGCGTCACAGGAACATGCAGCCACCCCAGTATGACAAACAACAGAGGGATGGTGTGGTTCCCTGACTGGGAAACGAACCCAGGCCATGGTGGTGAGAGCACCAAATCTTAACCACTAGACCACCAGGGCTGGCTAGAATAACTAATTAGTGACAAAATGAATCTCATGATAAATTTCAAATTTAAAATACTGTAATAATAATGCAGAAAGTTTACTTTGGGAAGGCTGGCCAAAATTGTAATGGATATACTTTTTTTTTTTTTTTGTGAGGAAGACTGGCTCTGAGCTAATATCTATTGCCAACTTCCTCTTTTTGCTGAGGAAGATTGGCCCTGAGCTAACATCTGTGCCCATCTTCCTCTATTTTGTATGTGGGACACAGTCACAGCATGGCTTGATGAACAGTGCGTCAGTCTGTGCCTGGGATCCAAACCCATGAACCCCGGGCCACTGAGGCAGAGTGTGAGAACTTAACCACTATGCCACTGGGCCAGCCCCCGGATATACTTTTTGATCTAAAAATGTTCTCATGCAGTTGCAAGCCTTCACCATCCACATGCTAACAACTCCCACATGTCTATTTCTGCTCTGACCTCTCCCCTAAGCTTTGGGCCCATATCCAAGTTCTTACTCAAAGCTCCTCTTGGCTGCCTCATAGGCATCATAAATGGAACAGAACCAAACTGTAAGTCCCATCCCCACCCCAACATGTTCTTCCTGCAGAGTTACCCATGACAGTAAATGGCAACTTGGTTTTTTCAATTGCTTAAGATAAAAATCTTGGTGTTGTCGTTGCCTTTCCTCTTTCTCACACACCTGACATCACATCCATCAGAAATCTTATTGATTCTACCTTCAAGACAAATCTAGACAAATTCTATTGTAGGTTGGGATCCTGGAAAGCCAACCCAGAAAATCATTAGTGTGTGGGAAATGATTAGGGAGTGCTCTTGGGATCGCCTGTCCATGAATGGGAAGGGGCAGAGGCAGGACTAGGCAGAGGGGGAAGTTGGTCAGCAACTTAGGGAAGGTCTCAGCCAATTCCACAGGGAGATCTGAGACTGGGATGAATTTTCAGAGATGTCCTCATTGTGGAGAATGGGCTCTCTTTTGTACTATTCCATAGACCAAACAGTGGATACAGACTGACCCCAGGAAGGAGGTACAGCCTTGGGTGAGGAAGCTCTCTCTAGCCAAGGACTGTCAAAGTAATGGTTACTGCTATGGAGGAGATAATCAAGGCGATGTAATAGAGTCTGGGACTGGGAGGCTACTTTAGAAAGAGTGGTCAAGAAATGCTTTTTTGGGGGTGCTGACATTGAGTTAAAACCTGGAAAATGAATGATGGGCAGGATCCAGCCCCTCTGAGAACTGGTGAAAGAGTAGGGTGGGAATGAGCTTGGTGTGCTGAAGGGTCAGAATGAAAGCCAAAGAGGTTGGAGGGATTGAGGGAGGAGGAGGGTGATAAGGGATGGGGTTGGAGATATAGACATGGGCTTGACTGGGAGAGGCCAGGCTAAGGAGTCTGGATTTCTCCCAAGTGCACAAGAGAGTCACAGGAAATTTGAGTTATGTAACAATCACCCTGGCTGCTGTTGGAGATGGCTTGAGGAGGGCAGGAAGGGAAGAAGAAAAATGAATTTTGGCAGCTATTGCAGCGGTCCAGGAGTGAGACAATATTGGCTCAGACTAGGGTAGTGGCCAGGGAACTGGGGAGAGGTGGAAAAATATAAGACATATTTTGTGTTAAAGCAAATGGTGGATTGGATGTGGGATTGAGGGAAAGCAAGGAACCAAGGAGAATATTAAGTTTTGGGTTTCAGCAACAGAGTGAAGGGGGATTTGATGGAAGGATTAGAGACCATGCATGTATGTTAAGAGAGTGCATTATAGCTAATATTTTTTAACAAAAATAATAATTAGCATATATTTTTGCAGTTCCAGATATTGATGTCTCTTATGGAAATTTAAAAAGTTGCTGGACATTAGTTTACATTAGATTTATTTCTCCAGATGTGGAGGCCAGTGAGAATAGAACCTGTCTAACTGTTTATGTATAGATCTTACATGTAGTAACTGCTTGACTTCCTTGCTTTGTCTCGGATCAAGTTTGCACTTCTACATTAACTGAACAACTCCGTGGAAAATTTGTCCAAACAATATGGATTAGCCATATTAAACGTTTCAGACGTATTTACATTCCAAGATTTGCACTTCTCACTAAGCGCCCCTCTTAAGAGAGTGGGGAGTGAATACACACCCGTTTCCGTTAGGTTCTGAGAATAGTGTGGTTCATCGTGCACCTGGAAAAAAGGATTCAGCTCTGTTGGCTATTTTATATGAAGGATCTCAGGAACAGGATCTGAAATTGATGTAAGTCACTGAAAGAACCTCAGAGGGGGCTATGGAAGAGTCCCCTTCCTGTGGCTCTTTCACTGACTTTTCTCTTCTCAACCCCAGATATGGTCACCCTGGCTCCTAGATGTGGGGAGGTCATAGTATGGAAGTGTGGTCCTGAAGGACTCTGGATTATGTCCCAAGCCTGTCCAAAGATCTGACTTAACAGTGCCATGGTGATTAATGTTTATTGCAATGTTTGTATCAGGAGATTTGCCTGACAATCCTGAAGACCAAAGTCTTCTCTGTGAAGAGCTTGTGGGGGAGCATCGGAAGTGTTCTCGAGAACAGGTCAATGTGTGTGCTCTGTATTGATTTTTCCAGGATGTGAGGGCGTATCGTTAGCCATGCTCTTTTGATCTTAGGCTCTTTTGCTGTATTCTTAATTATATTTGTAATATAGATTAATAGCACCAGAAGAGTGACCTGACTAGGAGGGCTATTATACATGGATTTGTGTTGCCAAAGTAGGCAGCACAATCCATTTTCCTGATGGTTTTGGCACAATCCATCCCGACACCTCAGAGATGGGCAATGCAGTCTTATGTCCGCTCTTGTGCCTGGTTATAAATCAGGGTGACTTGGGTGGACACAAAATAAAACGTGGAGAGGGACCACTAATACATTGTGGGGGAGATGGGTTGACAAATCATATCTCAACTTCCCATCCATAGAGATTCACCAAAGGAAATGTTTTGGTCCTATAAGCAAACTAACCAAATTTCCATCTCATGAAGATTTCCATCCATCAGTAAAATCTTCATTAATTTCTTGCCAAATGTTCTCAATGACAAACCACCTTTGTTATTCTTGTGTCATCATTCAAGTAGAACATCATATAATACATTCAGTTTCTCCACTTGATCCAATTTCTGTAAACATTTAACAAAACATAATCAAGTGAAACTGAATGTAAAGAGCTTTTATGAGATTCCACATGGTATTTATTTAGAGTTGGGTATGATCTTTTGTAGGACTCTATTTATCTATTTTGAAGGGAGCCATCATTTCTTATTATTTTTATATACACAGTGTCCAGTTTCAGAGTCTCTTTGTCCTGCGAATGAGAGAGATGGGATCGTGGGAGAATCGGGTTTTGGCTTTCTGGCTCCTTTTCAGCCTTCGTGCATCTCTGACATTCTTACATTCATCTATTCAGGAAAGACAATGACTCATTAAGAGTCACAAAATGATCAGGGGCAAAGATCGAAATTTCTCCCTTTCCAAAACCAGCTAGTCAGTCAACAAACAATTCTGAGTGCTCTCCAAGCACTGTGCTCGGCCCTGGAAACGTAGAGGTGAAAACAATCATGATTGCGCAGGAGCATTTGCTATTTACATAAGGTTATTTGGATGGGGGCAAGGGAGACAGAATGAGAGGAAACAGAGAATTTGCACATAATTGATATTTTCAGTTAGATTTTTAAAAAAGTACATTTGAGGTTTGGAATTCAGCATCTCAAATCTATACTAAGGGACCAGGCAGGCCTCTGCCTGCTCTATTAAGATCATTGATAGAGAGTTCACATGGGGTCTTGTGGGAGGAGGGTGACTGATGTGCGTGGAAAGGAACGAGCAGCAGAAGGTGAAGCCACAGAAAAAAAGGAAAAGAGAAAAAATATGTCCCCAAAGCATGTATATGATGGCATTTTTTGCATTTTTATGAAATTGTCTATATACACAGAGCAGGTATGTTTAAAACAAGATTAATGATTGTTAGAGCCGGAAATGACTTTAGAGATCATTGGATTCAGAGATTCTCTAACTTTGATGTACATCAAAATCTGTTGGGGAGTTTGTAAAAAATATACAGATGCATAGACCCTACTCCGGTGGCCAAGATGTTTGCTCCCCAGGTCATTCCAAAACACACTATGGTTTCTGAAGCACTTATTAGTCCAGTTTTCTCATTTTATGAAGGAGGAAACTGGCATTCTGAGGGGTTAACGTGCTCGCCCAAGGTCATATCAATTCCCTCCCCAGTTTAATCTTTATTGGCTGTACGCCCAGGCTGAAAAAAATGCATCCACTTTGGGAAGTATCCAGAGATAATTTTTTTTTCTGTTTTCTGTTAGAAAAGAATAGAAATGTTCCAGCAAATTAGGAAAAAAATTAATACATATCTATTTGGGAGTATAGTTGGATAGATATTCTTTTATAGCTATAAAATTTTGTGAGAGATGAAACTATATATATTTTCTACTTTCTCATTTTTGCCTACAAATTTTAAAGAGGTGTTTATTTCATGAGCTTCTCCCACCAGAGCTTATACGGTGTTAGGTAAACTGAATTTGACCACAACCCTACTATAGGTAGGCCAGGCTTATTTTTTTAGATGAGGAAACAGAGAGAAGATGTGTCCTATCTAGCACAGTAAGATAAATTATTAGGATTATAATGGAAACAGAAAGTTCCTGACACTCACACGTGTGGCGGTTGCTGGGCCCATAGCCTCATTGTTCACACAAGACCTAGAGTCCAAGGTGCTGAATTTTATCAAAATGAGTCTAGATTTAAGTTCATCAACCTACTTTATTGTACTCAAGCCTTTCTGGCAATGATTAACTCTACTGTTTAATGCATGGTCTAAAGTATGGTTCCTTAAACTCTCTTAGCAAACAGAAGGTTATTTTTTGTAATGAGCCAGCTCTCCAGGTGTTTGTAGCATAGGGCATTGCTTCTCCGCTGGTAGAGACATGGAGCCCAGCTGCCAGGGGAGCAGTCACTTCCTA